GAGCCGGTTTTCGACGCCCCTCCAACTCCACCATCCGAACTGTGGGCCTGCGGCCGCGCGGCCGCCCACCCGCCTCAGGCAGTCCTCGCCGTGAGGGGGACGCCGAGGTGGCCTGCCCGGGGCGCCCCGCACTCACCCGGCTGATGCTTCAGCGCCATCACGGACACTAGATAGTGGGCAATGTCAAAAAAGGGGAACATGGACGTGCGAGAAAAGGCCAAAGTCAGGTCATCCCACGGAGAGTCCATGACTACGACCGACCGCGGCGGCCGAAGCAGCCACAGGCGCCGAGTGGTCGGCGGGTGGGCGGGGCCAAGGCCACAACTGTGCTTCTCCTAATAAGGGTCCCGCGTCCTCTCCCCGCTGGAGACTGTGCGCAGAAAAATAGAACGCGGTCTTCGAGGATAGACGCTCAGAGGAGGATTTGTTTCTCCAAGTTGAGGACGTCACCTAATATTTATAGAGCAACCACAGTGCAAATCACACTGTGCCTTAGTGGAGATAGAACAATAAAACCACACTACCCTGCCCTCAAGAAATTTGTCTTTTCCCAAGAGATTTTTTTCTTTTAAAGAAAAAATAAATCAATTGTACAAAGCAGGCATGAGAAGTATAGATGCCCTGTAAGGGTAGTTTAGAGAAGAGGACAGTTATTTCAGGGAAATAGGTAATGTGACAGAGGAGCTGGACTTTTAAAAGCTAGGTGAAAGTTGACAGGAGGTATTTTGGCTAGACTACAAAATGAGAAATAAGGTAGAAAAAAAAATTAAGTCCTTAAATAGCAGATAGCCAGGCAGTTGGCTCCAGAATTTAAGCTCTAGATCAATCACTTCATTATGCTCAGGTGCATCACAGCCAGAATTTCTTCTCATAATCATTATGCTAAACTAGGTTGGTAGATTTTGTTATCCCTTTGTTTTTGCAGAGGGCGGGGGTATTTTTCATGTGTGCTTTTTCATTAAGCAGGCCCTTTTCTATGGGGAAGTACTTTTAAACCTGTTGCACATTTTCTAGCAAAAGAAAAAAATCTGAATATTTATACTTTCATGTTTGAGTCAGTTCTTCCCATACTTTTTATACACTCCTTTATTTTTGGAAATTATAGTGTGAATTTAAGGGCAGAACCTGAATATTATTTTTTAAAAGATTTTACTTTTTTCCTAACTTTGTTTTTTTAGAAATCTTTGCTATAGGGCACGTTCACTCACCAGAGAGACAGGGAGAAATCACCCCCCTAGGGGAGATGGCCACTCTGCAATCCTTTCTCCATTCTCCTGTCACAATTTTGGGCACTCAATCCCTTCTTCTTTCAGGATTTTGGGCACGCACATACATGTGCCCAGCATCAGTTTCAAGCCATGGGGTTTGGGACTCCAACGGTGGGAATTCAGTGCCTTAGCCACTATGCCACCTGCTGGCCCCAAAGCTTTTACTTTTTTTTAAAGAATTATTTATTTATTTATTTGATTTCATTTGTGATTATTATTTTTTAATATGACCAGAGAGAGAGAGAGAAAGGGAAAGCAAGAAAGCAAGCCACCAGGTCCGGGACCTGAACCACCATTGTTGGCCGTGTAGGAATCTAACACCTTTAACCACCGCACCACCTGCTGGCCCCCAGGTTTTACATTTTAACAGTCTTAAATTTCACAAAATGTGTTTTGTTTTCTGATTTAGAAAGTACTTAATACAAAGCAATCCTTATAACATCTCTAAATCATGTTGTCTACGGCAGTATCATTCTTGGGTATGATTAATTACTTGTAACAATAGAGCAAGAGTGAAAAACACCAGAGATTTTTTTTTTTAAAGAAAGTAAATCAAGGAATCAACAGGTGGTTAAGGCACTGGATCCCACATGGCCAACTCTGAGGGTTCAAGTCCTGAACTTGTGGTCTGAAAAGCATGCTGGGCTTGTGTACGTGTGTGCCCAAAATCCCACGAGGAGAATGGAGGAGCTCTTGTTCTTTCCCTCTGGCAAAGTCCCCTATGGCAAAAAAAAAAAAAAAAAAAAAAATTCTTTAAAAAGAAAAAAAAGTAAATCAACTACTTTACTTACCTTAAATAGATTAATTCCAACAGAAGGAATTAATCATTCTACAAGTAATCCGAAATGTGTTTCATTTCAAAACTAAGAATAAGCATAGTATACCACCTGCCTAAAGGCTAAAAAAAAAATTTTTTTTAATCTAAAGGAAAGTAAACCATAATATCACACACACACACACACACACACACACAGGTTCTAGCTAAAATTTAAATGTGTTGGCTATAGGAGGTCGGCAGGTGTGGTGGTTGGGGTAGTGGACTCCCACATGGCCAACTGCAGTTCAAGTCCCAGACCTGGCAGCTTGCTTTCTCACTTTCCCTTTCTCTCTGTGTCTTTCTCTTTTCTAATTGGAACTTACAATAATAACAAATAAAATTAAACCATTCTTTAAAAAAATGTGTTGACTCTTTGTTTCTGGTCAGTTCCTAGATTATTAGGCTATTGGAATGGTATATACTTAAAGGAAATTAAGGGACTGGATGGAGAGAAAACTTTGAATTGGTAAGGAAAGGCAGGATTTGGGGGAAATATTGTGAAATTTTAAACTTTTCCTGACTTTTGGAAGTGCTTTAAAAACTTACATAATTATTGCTAATAAAATGAATCCAGATTATTCCTTAGGAAGTCAAGCTGGTCTAAGTATATTAATAACTGAAAAAGAGTTTTGACCAAATCCATTTGAAGCATTTTTTAGTTCAAAAATATGTATAACTAATTTTTTAAGAATTATTTTATTTTAGCTTTCTTTCTTTCTTTCTTTCTTTCTTTCTTTCTTTCTTTCTTTCTTTCTATTTATTTTAATTTGACCAGAGAGGGACAGAATGACAGAGGAAGAGGGAAAGGGAGAAACCAAGCTTCTAGGTCCAGGCCTCAAACTGCAGTCGGTCATGTGGGAGTCTAGCACCCTTAACCATCACCTAATTTTTATTAAGCAGGCTTCACAACAGTGCTCTTGACATTTGGACTGAACAATCCTTTGTTGTGGGAACTGTCCTATATGCTTTCTAAGGTTTTCAGCAGCATCGCTGGACATAGGCACACACACACGCGTGCACACGCACACACACACACACGTACACACACCAATGATGGCAAGCAAAAATGTCTATAGGCATTGCCAAATGTATCTTGAGATATATTTGGGGGCACAAAATCACCCCTGCCACAGAACCACTGTTATTAATAAGTACTTCTTTCTGCATTGTGAGCTTCTATTTAATACAGACATTATGGTCATGCCATAATATTAATCATCAGGTTAATTCTAGAACAACTCACAAACTCCTCTTGGTCTTCAGCTTCTTCATCTAGCTTCCTGGCTCAAATTGGCTAAGTCCTTAAAACACACTGTCATTAATGCAATCCTAGCGGCTTCTTTCCTACAATACTACTTTCTATCCACTAGGTGGCACGTCTTTCACTTTGAGAAATCTGTAAGGAGAACTTTTTTTTTTTTTCTTTTTTTTGAGAGATTTTTGCTATAGGGCACGTGCACTCGCCAGACAGACAGAGAGAGATAGAGAGACAGAAAGCGAGAAATCACCCCCCAGGGGGGATGGTCACGCCGCAATCCCTTCTCCTCCATTCTTGTAAGGAGAATTTTTTAAAGAGCCTTTAAGAGCCCTGATCAGAAATTTTCATGGTAAAAAGACCAATTGCAATTCTAAACTTTAGTATTCTGGTTAGGTATTTTCATTCTAAAGTTATTTTGATAGGCACTTGATAATACACCATATCAAGTTATCTTATAATAATAATATTTGTGCCAATATAAGACTATCTGTAACTTGAATTCGACAATTTTTTTTATTAAGGTTTTGGTATAGGGTGCATGCACTCACCAGAGAGAGACAGCAAGAGAGAGAGAGAAATCACCTCCAGGGAAGAATAGCCATGCCACAATCCCTTCTCCTCTATTTTCTTTTCAGGATTTTGGGTGAGCACATGCATGTCCACAGTGTGTTTTCAAGCTTCCAGGTCCGGGACTTGAACCAGGCAGTCAACCATGTGGGATCTGGCTGCCTTAACCACCATGCCACTGTCTGGCCTAAATTCAATCTTTTTGAGGTACAGGATTATCAAGGAGAATTAACTACAGAGCAACAATTACCCTCAAGATACCCACTATATTCACTCAGTAGAAGGAGATGTTAGTGCATAAGATTTAAGTGATAAAGCTCTTTAACTATCGTATCAACTCTTTAGACTCAGTCTGTATCTATTTTTTTAAAGAATTATTTATTTTATTTTATTTATTTCTCTAATATATGAAAAGAAATTTTATTATTATTTTATTACATAACCTATTAGTGAATACACCACATGGCATTTTCTTAAATGACAAATGAGGTACGTTTCTGATTTCTCTGAGAACCTCAGAGTCATCTGTCTTTTGGGGAGTCCAGTTTCTTACGACGTCTGTGATACTGTCCGTGAGGATACCAACGGTGCTTGGTAGTAAAGAACATTTTGCTAAGTTGTTCTGTCATGGGTCCTTGTTCAAGGGTTCACTTTTCTCTTCTAACCTGGATTTCAGCACTTGATCATGTGTTTCTTCTTTATTATGCACAGGATCTGGTCTAGGGATAGGTTTTGTGTGTTCATACGGAATGTCCACAGACGGGTGGTAGCACACTATCGTCCTGCCATCAGATGTCAAAGCCAGCTCCACTTTGCAATTATAGTCATCTGGAAGAGAAGAATACGGAGATTTATGTCAAACACAATGTAAAGCTCCATTTTGGGTCTGAAGGAAATATTTCAAGATGGTTGTCTCTGATATCACACATTTTATTGCTGCTACTGCCATGGTGTATCAAGAGGCTTCTTAGGTGGCACAAAAAAAGTTGTCCCGAAGAGAAATTGCTTTTAAAATCTGCTTTTACACAAACTACTTTTCAACCCTTGACAGATTGTCACTGCTAGTCTGCCATCTTGTCTCAATCTGGGTCCTGTAAGACACTCTATTGGGGTTTTTTTTAGAGAGAAATTTTTATGTGTATGCTCACCAGAGACAGAGAGTCAGAAAGTGAAAAATCACCCCCCAGGGAGATGGCCACACTGCAATCCCTTCTCTTCCATTTTCCTCTCAGGATTTTGGGCACACACGCACATGCACCCAGCATGAGTTTCAAGCCACCAGGTCTGGGACTCAAACTGTAGTCAGCCATGTGGAAATCCAACAACAAAACCACTATGCCATCTGCTGATCTCTATTATTTGTTATTTGACCAG